CAGACTGTAAATAATAAGATGTTGAGATCCAGAGTCCATCTGGGTAGCCTGAAGTTTGCAGCCTTCCAGAATGGACCTCATATCCCAACTTTGGCACTGGCAATACGTGGCTTAGGTGCAGATGGTTTTCACACCTGTACAGCTGCTTATCAGCGGTTACCAGCACTCTAAGGGGTTCTAACGCTCAAATCTCAAAGTAGGTGGAGTTCTTTCTCGGGCACTCTCTAAGTTGGTGCCTTCTTCCTCCCTTTCCCTTCCCTGGTCCATTCTTGCCCATCTACCTGGCCCTTCTTTCCCTCAGTGCTCTTCTCTAATATTGCTTCTCCTTCCAAGGCACTGGAGGACCTGGCATGAATGTTCTAAGGCGAGATCAGAAGATGCTAACCTCTTGGCAGATATTTACTCTGCTAACCAAGTCATCTAAAAGCGGTAGAGTGTTGGTACATTTATTTTATTATTTATCCCACCTCGACTCATCCGAATTAATGTGTGAAATTGGGAAGTATCTTAAAATTGATAAGAACTTGCATGTAACTTCCACCACTCTGGAAGAGTTTTTACAAAGTCGATGGTATTTCTTGTAGTTGTTGGCATCTTAGAAGCCCAGAAATGTGTAAGGGGGTAAGCCTCGTGGAATCATCGTTATTTATTGGCAAATAACCACAGACAGTTTTCCTTCTCACTTTTCATTTTTAGCGAGTTTGTTTTCTGTGTCACCTCACCAACAAGGCCGCTGCTGGGTGATTGTGGGTTGGCTCAGAGCTAGCAAATACTCTAAATTGAGAAAGGAAAAGTATAGAGTATTATCTTTTTGTTAACAACATTAACATTTATACAGATATCTGTCTTGAATTCTTAGCATTTGATGTAACTAATTACTCTCTCTTTTTTTTTTTTTTGAGGCAGAGTCTCACTATGTCACCCAGGCTGGAGTGCAGTGGTGTGATTTCAGCTCGCTGCCACCTCTGCCTCCTGGGATCAAGTGTTTCTCCCACCTCCACCTCCTGAATAGCTGAGACTATAGGCTTGTGCCACCACCGAGCTAATTTCTGTATTTTTACAAAATACAAACAGACGGGGTTTTGCCATGTTGGCCAGGCTGGTCTCGGACTTCTGACCTCAAGTGATCCATCCGCCTCTGCCTCCCAGAGTGCTGAAATTATCGGCACGAGCCACTGTGCCTGGCCTGCCTTTTAATTTTTTTACTTTTAAAACTTATTTTTAATTTTTAAAATCAGACCCACTCTTCAAGACTTTAAACTCCCTGAGGGTGGAGATTCTATTCACAGCTATGCCACCAGTACCCAGAATAGGGCCTGGCACAAGGTGAGTCCTGATTGCCTATTGGTTGTTGATTGATTTATGCCTCTAGAATTGTCTTTTGATAATAGTAAATAAGATGTGCTAACACAAAACTGATAGAGTTCAGAAATAATCAAGAATCTCCTGTGTTCACTGGGAAAGGGACATTTGTTAGGTGGGGAGCTTCCTAAAAGGTTATGTAATTTTTTGGCATTTTGACGTAGTCACAAAATTCTTATTGATTGAGGTTACTGCATCATCAATTATAGTACACTCATGTGTTGCCTGAGGATGGGAATTTGTTCTGCGAAACGTGTTAGGCTATTTCGTTGTCATGCGTGCATCCTCAAGTACACCCACACAAACTTAGATGGTACAGCGTACGACATACCTAGGCCATTAGATGGTATAGCCTGTTGCTCCCAGGCTACACACCTGTACAGCGTATTGCTGTATTGAATACTGTAGGCACTGTAGAGCATCTAAACACAGAAAAGATACAGTAAAAATGTGGTAAAATGATTGAAAATGGTCCATCTAAGACACTTACTGTGGATAGAGCTTGCGGAACAGGAAGTTGCTCTGGGCGCGTCAGCGAGGGGGTGGTGAGTGAATCTGAAGGCCTGGGACACATACTGCACCCCACTGTAGACCTCATACACACTGTACACTTAGGCCACACTACATTTGTAAAAAATATTTCTCTTTCAGAACCATAAATTAACCTCAGCTTACTATGATGGTTTTACTTTATAAACCTTTTAATTTTTGAAAATGTTTTCACCCTCTTGTAATAATGCTTAAAACACAAATGTATTGTACAGCTGAACAGAATATTTCCTTTTTCATTTCCTTCTCGTTTAAGCTTTAAAAATTAAAATTTCTTTCTTTATTTATTTATGCATACATACATTTTAAACTTTTTTGTTAAGAGCTAAGACGCAAACACACACACGAGCCTAGGCCTACATAGGGTCAGGATCATCAATACCACTGGCTTCCACCTCCTCATCTTACCCCACTGGAAGGTCTTTGGGGGCAGTAGCATGCATAGAGCTGTCATGTTCTCACGTCATAGAGAACGTGCCTTACCTTCTTCTGGCATACCTACTTCCCGGGCGACCTGCCCGAGGCTATCTTACAGTTAACTGTTTTTTTAATAGGTAGAAGGAGTACATTAAAATAGTGATGAAAAGCGTTCTATAGTAAACACTAAGTGATAGGGATTTTTAAGCTCCATTACAATCTTGGGTAACAACTGTCATATATGTGGTCCATTGTTGACTGAAATGTCGCTATGCATCATGCCTTTCCTGTATTTTGAAAGCCATTGTTGGCACAGTTCCAAAGTACAATAATTTGCATTGTTTATGGCCATGCTTCTCCTCGAGAGGTCCTGTGGTAAGAGCTGTCTTAATGACTTGGAAGTGACTGGGTTGAAGGATGTGCCAGGAGACAAAGCTAGCGTCTGGTACAGATAGTTCTGTCATTGGGATTATTTGTTTTTTTAAAACAATCAACTGACAATTGCTAGATGTTTTTTATCATCAGCTAACAGACATCTGCAACATTTCCTTATCTGCATAATATAGTGCTCATAGTATTGCTTTGTCATTTGAAGTTCGACATTCATTCGGTAAATATTTAAGGAGTATCTCCCACGTAGCAGGCACTGCAATCAGTGCTGCGGGTATAGTTACACGTAAGGTGTGAGTCTCAGTCCTAAACACAGTGCCCGTCACAGTGCTGCGATTTGAACAGTCAAAGAGCAGCAGATAAAAATGTTGTATTCAGGCCAGGCATGGTGGCTCATACCTGTAATCCCAGCACTTTGGGAGACTGAGGTGGGTGGATCATGAGGTCAGGAGTTTGAGACCATCCTGACCAACATGGTGAAACCCCATCTCTACTAAAAATACAAAAATTAGCCATGCATGGTGCATGCCTGTAATCCCAGCAACTTGGGAGGCGAATCGCCTGAACCCGGGAGGTGGATCACCTGAACCCGGGAGGCGGAGGCTGCAGTATCACACCACTGCACTCCAGCTTGGCTACAGAGTGAGACTCTGTTTCCAAAAAGTGTTGTATTCAGTATCTCTTACATAGTAATGAAGACAGGCTAAAATATGAATGATTTTCAGTGTGCATGAATTGTCTACACATAGTCTGTTACGGGAGTTCAGAGAAGAGAGAATACAAGGATCAGGTTGGTGGTAGAGGAATATCATTCAGGTGGCATTGGGAATAATTTGGATGTAATAACAGGAAGCAGGTGAATAATCTTTTCTGAGTTGAGTAGGGAAGTGACATAATTGATTTATATTTTATTTAAGGCACTCTGGCTGCTTGGTGGGAAATTAGACTATGGTCTGGAGGTAGAGGAGGTGAATGAAAGAAATGAGTCAAGTTAGCAGGGATCATGGTATTCAGCTGATAAATACTGCAAGGAGTTTTCCTTTCCTTTCATTGTTTCAAGATTATTTATTTATTTAGTTAGTTAGTTATTTTGAGATGGAGTCTTGCTCATGTCACCCAGGCCGGAGGCAGTGGTGCAATCTCAGCTCACTGCAACCTCTGCCTCGCGGGTTCAAGTTGTTATCCCGCCACAGCATCCCAAGTAGCTGGGACTACAGGCACACACCACCACGCCCAGCCAATTTTTGTATTTTTAGTAGAGACAGTGGGGTTTCACCATGTTGGCCAGGATGGTCTCGATCTCTTGACCTCGTGATCCGCTGGCCTCGGCCTCCCTAAGTCCTGGGATTACAGGTGTGAACTACCACGCCCGGCTAAGATTTTTTTTTTTAATTCTTCTTTATTAAAAAATTTTGCCATGTTTATAATAAAATACTGAGAGAATTTTTGATGTGTGTGCCAAGATACCAGATACTCTGATGTGCTTACCAATCCTCCAGCCTAGTGCTGGTGTTTGAATCTTCCTTCCTGGGTGGAGAATCTACACGTAGACATGTATATGCTCTCAGTTCTTCATGTCATTTGATTTGGCTTCTGTTCTTACACTGTTGAAGGTGCTGCAGTTGTCAGCTATGGTTTTCCTTTCTTTGTGATAATCCTATTTTAATGTATAAGATCCTTTCAGGCAACTGAAGTATGCAAAAGGCAGGTAGAATAGCAGCAATTTTAGATATTTATAAATTCATGTAATAAATATGATAGATTTGGATTATTTGCTGCATTGCCAGTGAGTTTATTATAGTATATAACAATATTTAATCCAAATGGTGATAGAAATAAAAGGCCCACTTTGAGGTAAATCATTAATTTTTCAGGCATACAAGGTATGTTTTAAAGAATTTCTCAAGCTGAAGAATATTCAGTGTACACTCTGTGCTTGAAAAGTCTTAACACATAATCCACCAAGGCCAAATTAATTTTATCTTCAAAGGTAAGACTGGGACAAGTTTCACTTAAATTTTTTGAAATTATTAAATAGTTCTGTCAAGCATTGAAAATAAAGGAAGAGAATGCTTATTGTCATTACATTTTAAGTGAAAAGATATAGCATTATAATTTTGCTCACAAGTGTTTCCATGTCGTAGCAATTTTCTACTATGTTGTAATTGCTTATTTGACTCCACTCTTTTTCTCTCCCCTGCTACAGCAATCCTAGTTCCACTGGATATTTTTGAGTGATTAAATGTATTACTCACTTCTTTTTGTATTTGTTTTTTTAATAGAAAATGCATCAGATGCAGATTTATGGCTCCTGAACAGTTGCACTGTAAAAAACCCAGCTGAAGACCACTTTAGAAACTCAATTAAGTAAGTAGAAATTGATTTTTTCCCCTATTTTTTATAATCAAAGTGAGAATTAATACCAAAAAGTTAGCTTTTTTAAAAGGTCAATATAGATATTTAGTTGATATCAAAAAAGTATGAGTTAGACTTTTAAGATTATGCTGTTTTGAATTTGATAAAGAATAATACTAGTTATTTTTAAATTAAGTTTAATGTAAGTTCTGGGGTATGTGTACAGTATGTGCAAGTTTGTTACATAGGCAAACATGTGCCGTGGTGGTTTGCTGCCCCTATCAACCCATCACATAGGTGTTAAGCCCGTATGCTTTAGCTATTTGTCCTGGTGTTCTCCCTCCCCTGTCCCTCACAGGCTCGAGTGTGTGTTGTTCCCCTCCCTGTGTCCCTGTATTCTCATTATTCAGCTTCCACTTATAAGTGGGAACATGCAGTGTTTGGTTTTCTGTTCCTGTGTTAGTTTGCTGAGGATAATGGCTTCCAGCTCCATCTCTGTCCTTGCAAAGGACGTGATCTCATTTCTTTTTATGGCTGCATAGTCTTCCATAGTATATATGCACCACAGTTCTTTATCCGGTCTGTCACTGATGGGCATTTGGGTTGATTCCACGTATTTGCTATTGTGAATAGTGCTGCAGTGAATATATGTGTGCATGTATCTTTTTAATAGAATGATTTGTATTCCTTTGGGGATATACCCAGTAATGGGATTGCTAGATCAAATGGCTTTTCTGGTTCTGGGTGTTTGAGAAATCACCACACCATCTTCAACAATGGTTGAACTAATTCACATTCACACCAACAGTATAAAAGTGTTTCTGTTTCTCCATAGCCTCACCAGCATCTGTTGTTTCTTGATTTTTAATAATTGCCATTCTGACTGGTGTGAGATGGTATCTCTTTGGTGGTTTTGGCTTGCATTTCTCTAATGATCAATGATGTTGAATGTTTTTTCATGTTTTTTGTCCACATAAATGTCTTTTGAGAAGTGTCCATGTCCTTTGCCCACTTTTTAATGGGATTGTTGTTTTTTTTCTGATAAATTTGTTTAAATCCTGGTAGATTCTGAATATTAGACCTTTGTCACGTGGATAGATTACAAACATCTCCTCCCATTCTATAGGTTGTTTGTTCACTCTGATGATAGTTTCTTTTGCTGTGCAGAAGCTCTTTAGTTTAATTAGATCCAATTTGTCAATTTTTGCTTTTGTTGAAATTGTTTTGATGTTTTCATCATGAAATCTTTGCCTATGCCTGTGTCCTGAATGGTATTGCGTAGGTTTTCTTCTAGGGTTTTTGAGGTTTTGGGCTTTACATTTCAGTCTTTAATCAATCTTGAGTTAATTTTTGTGTAAGATGTAAGGAAGGGGTCCAGTTTAAATTTTCTGCATATGACTAGCCAGTTTTCCCAGCACCATTTATCAAGTAGGGAATTCTTTTCCCATTGCTTATTTTTGTCAGGTTTGTCAAAGATCAGCTGGTTGGAGATGTGCGGTCTTATTATGTGCATTCTCTATTCTGTTTCCTTTGTGTATATGTCTGTTTTTATACCAGTCCCATGCTGTTTTGATTACAGTAACCTTGTAGTATAGTTTGAAGTTGGGTAGCGTGTTGTCTCAGTTTTGTTCTTTTTGCTTAGGATTGTCTTGGCCATACGGACTCTTTTTGGGTTTCATGTGAATTTTAAAGTAGTTTTTTTCCGTAGCTTATGAAGAATGTCAATGATAATTTAATGGAAATAGTATTAAATCTATAAATTACTTTAGGCAGTATGGCCATTTTCACAATATTGATTTTTCCTATCCATGAGCATGGAGTGTTTTACCATTTGTCTGTTTCCTCTCTTATTTCCTTGAGCAGTGGTTCATAGTTCTTGTAGAGGTCCTTCACTTCCCTTGTTAGCTGTTTCTCTAGGTATTTTATTTTCTTTGTCGCAATTGTAATTGGGCGTTCACTCACGATTTCACTCTGTCTATTGTCGGTGTATAGGAATGCTTGTGATTTTTGCACATTGATTTTGTATCCTGAGACTTTGCTGAAGTTGCCTATTAGGTTAAAAAGTTTTTGGGCTGAGACAATGGGGTTTTTTAGAAATAGGATCATGTCATCCGCAAACAGAGACAGTTTGACTTCCTCTCTTTTTATTTGAATACGCTTTACTTTTTTCTCTTTCCTGATTGTCCGGGCCAGAACTTCCAATACTATGTTGAATAGGAGTGGTGAGAGAGGGCATGCTTGCCTTGTGCCTGTTTTCAAGGGGAATGCTTCCAGCTTTTGCCCAGTCAGTATGATATGGGCTGTGGGTTTGGCATAAATGGTTCTTATTCTTTTGAGGTCGGTTTCTTCAATACCTAGTTTATTGAGAGTTTTTAACATGAAGGGATGTTGAATTTTATTGAAGACCTTTTCTGCATCTATCGAGAAAATTGTGTGGTTTTTGTCTTTAGTTCTGTTTATGTGATGAATCGCATTTATTGATTTGTGTATGTTGAACCAGGCTTGCATCCGGCGATGAAGCCGACCTGATCATGGTGGGTAAGCTTTTTGATAGACTGCTGGATTTGTTTGCCAGTATTTTATTGAAGATTTGTGCGTTGATGTTCATCATGGATATTGGCCTGAAGTTTTCTTTCTTTTTTTTTTTTGGTATCTTTGCCAGGTTTTGGTATCAGGATGATGCTGGCCTCATAAAATGAGTCAGGGAGAAGTCCCTTCTTTTCATTTGTTTGGAATAGTTTCAGAAGAATGACTTTTTGAAGGGTTTTTTTTTGTATGTCTGTCTCCTTAAGAATGATACTTTAATGGGAACTTTTCTAATAAGTGATTTCAGTATTTGTGAAGTTAGCTAATAGGTGATTTTCGAGTATTTGTTAAGTATTAACTATGTGTTCTTCTCGGAAAATCAATGCATACTTTGTGAAATTGACTGACACAGTCCTTGCCTCTTTCCCTGCCCATCAGCACTGTTCTAAGTGCCGCAGTCCCTGGCTTTCAAGGGAATTGCAGGTTGTTGAAGGGAGGTGGGCGTATTAAGCCCTTGCTTCTTGCTTTGTTCCTTCAAGTTAATGTGGAAGAAGTTTCCCTTTTTCACATTTTTTCTGAATCTTATCCCCATGTATCTTCTTAGAAACCTCCTTTTAGAAATTATGTCCTCAATCCATATTTCCAACCTCTGCAGCTCACCTGGTGCTTTAAACATGCCTGGTTCTGATCAGCCTCCTGTATCCCTGTTAGCCACTGTCCTACATTTTTTCTTGCCTTCCCAGCCAGACTTTGAAAAATTTTTTACTTCTTCATTTTATTCTCATACTCATTCTTCTTCCCCTTAATTGGTTTCATTTGTGAAATACATTAAACATACATTAGCATTTATAAAACACATATAGTTTAAATAATAATAAACACTTAAACATCTGCCACCCAGTGTAAGAAATATAACATTGTCAAGACTGTAGAAACTGCCGTGTTTTCATTCGTAACTCCCAAGAAGTAACCTTTATCTCGACTTTTGTGAGTCATTTCCTTACTTTTATTAGTTAATGTATCATCTATTAAGTATGTCTCTAAACAATGTGTTGTCTTGTTTAGCCCTATTTTGAACTTGATCTGTTCAACTTATAATGTTTGTGTTTTTCTGAGATTTACTTCTTTTTCTCAGCATTATACTTTGAGATTTATTCATGTTAATGGGTGTAAAATAACTTTGGTTATTCATAGAATTTGCCACAATTTATTTGTTTTATTACTGGTAGAGTTTTGAATTTTTCCCAATATTTTACTTTGATGAACATTCCTGCTATGAATATTTTAAACATGTTTTCCGGTGCACATGTGTAAGAATTATTCTGGATTATGAACCTGGGAGTTGAATTATTGGGTAGCATATCTGTGTATATTCAAACTTTATGAGGTAATGCCAATTTCTTTTCACAAATGGATGTGGTGGTGTGCTTTCCCACCAGTAATGGATGTGTGTATTTGTTGTTTTCTGGTTTTGCCAGTACTTGATATGGCCAGACTTAAGTTTTTGCAAGTCTGTTGATGATGATGGTATTTCGTTTTGGTTTTAGTTTGCATTCCTTTTTTTTTCCTTTGAGACAGGCTCTCACTCTGTTGCCCAGGCTGGAGTGCAGTGGTAGGATCTCAGCTCACTGCAACCTCTGTCTCTCGTGTTCAAAGGATTCTCCTGCCTCAGCCTCCTGGGTAGCTGGGATCACAGGTGTGCACCACCACACCCAGCTGTTTTTTTTTTAATTTTTTTGAGAGGAAGTCCTCCTCTGTTGCCAGGCTGCAGTGCAGTGGTGTGATCTTGGCTCACTGCTCCCTCTGACTCTTTGGTTCAAGCGATTCTCCTACCTCAGCCTCCTGAGTAGCTGGGATTACAGGTGCTAGACACTATGTCCAGCTAATTTTTGTATTTTTAGGAGAGATGGGGTTTTGCCATGTTGGCCAGGATGGTCTCAATCTCCTGACCTTGTGATCTGTCCACCTTGGCCTCCCAAAGTTCTGGGATTACAGGCGTGAGCCACCGTGCTTGGCCTTAATTCCATTTCTATGATCATTAATGAAATGGAGCTTTGTAGAATAAATCTATAGGCTCTTTGGGTTTTACTTTTTTGTAAAATGGCATCTCAAGTCATTTGTTTATTTTTCTGTTTTGTTTCCCCGTTTTAATTTTTTATTTGTGGCCATATATTATGTGTCTTACATATCCTAATCCTTACATATTAGACATGTTGCAAATACCTTCTCCCAATTGTGGCTTATCTTTTCACCTTATTTTGTGGTGTCTTTTAAGATAAATGCTGATTTAAAATTTATTAATCTGTTGTTTTTGGTTTGTGTTCTTATTGTTTAAGAAGTCTTTTCTTACTCTGAAGCTATTAAGATATTCTCCTATATTTTCTTCTAAAAGTTTCATGATTTGACCTTTTACATTTAGGTCTACAATTCATCTGGAGTTGATTATTATTTTTGGTGTGGTACCAGAAGGGGTCCAATTTTACTTT